ATCAGTTTTTCCCAAGTAAACCAACAGAGTTAGCCATGTCTCTCAGTACTGAAAATGGTGTGTAAATATATCAAGATTAGCAGATGCTAAATACTAAACACTGTTTTACTGATAAGCAAGCAAAGCTAGCACAAATAAAGTTGCAGCAGTGGGAAGGGAGTGGGACGACAGAGATGAAGCATGTACTCCTCTCTTTGATCAGAAAATCATTCTAAAATAATAGTGGTCTACATGAATGTGCCAAATAAGTTACAATAATTGTCTGCTTTTCAACCCTGATCAGCTTCAAGATTTCTTGCCATAATAAAGACATAAAAGAAGGATGTGTAGTTATGTTGTTCCCTTTCCTTTGTTCACTCTTAGAAGTGAGGTCACAGGATGAATCTCATGAGTTAGCACCTGAGCTCTGCTCTTAGTAATATATTTGCATTATTCCTATCTCTGATCCCTGTTGGCTATAAATTTCCTTTTATTTTTTTTTAGTTGACATTTCTTATTTCTGATGTGCTGTCTTTGTTGAAATGATCTCACCGAAGTCTTTGGCCAGATTTCAACATGATTATTATCCAAAGTGATCTTAAATTGTTTTGTATGTATCGTTTGATGGTTCTAGCACTGTAGTAAAAGCGGTTACCAAATGCTTTATTTATGTGGTTATACTTCTCTGTACTTTAGAAAATGTAGTAAAAAGACATTTAAAAATAGAATTACTGTCTGTGATTTGGGATCTGTGCATGTTGTACTGTGAACTCCATGTTGTTTTGTGACCCAGTTTTGTTTCAGGGCTCTACTTCGCTCTGTAGCAGCCTTTGTGGATTAGAACATCCATTTTGCAATAGGGACTTGACTCCTAATAGAAAGACTATGTCTAAGAAGCAGAGACAAAGCAATCGAGAGCCATCAATGTTGAATGACTTTTCTCTATGGAACAATGGATTTTCTACTGGTAAGGCCACTGTCTTTGAAGGTCTCTCTATACGGAAGTTGATGTGGGGAGAGTAGGGGGTGGAACATGGAATTTCTTCAGTGGAAAGACACATGCACACAGGGGGACAGAGGTGGTTATCAATACCAGGTTTACCATGGTGCCATGCTCCAAAGGGGCCCCGGCCTGGCCCACTCTTCTCCACCCCCTGTTCTCTCCTGTGGGGGCAGCGGGCAGAAGCTTGGTCCTGCCGGCAGCCAAGCTCCCTCCCCTCGCCTCTTCCCCGGAGCGTGCCGGGACCAACCCTAGTTCCTGCCCCGCTGTGCTTTTGCTCCCGGCCCCTGCCTTGCTCCAGTCCGCAGGGACTAATCCTCCCCCCATGCCACACTGTGCTCATCTTTGGGGACTGGCCCTGATTTGAGCAGGGGGTTGGACTAGATGACCTCCTGAGGGCCCTTCCAACCCTGATATTCTATGATCTTGCCCCTGGCCCCTGCCTCCCTCCATCTGGGGACCAATCTTTCCCCCCGCCCCCACGTTGCCCAGTTGTCAGGGTGAATAAAAATCAATGATTTTTTTAAAAAAAAATCAAAAAATCAGATTTTTTGTATTTAAATCGGATTTTTTTGATAAAATGCTTTTTGAGGGAAAAAACCTATCTAAAGATAGTTTTAATTAAGATACATTAAATCTTATCATGGAATAGGGTTTATAAATTCTAATTCTATAGTAGGAGACAATATATTCGTGTAATGTTTAAGAAAAGTTTTGTAAATGAGTTCTAATAGTTCATGGATTAGGGACCCAATCTTATGGGGATCCACGGGCTTCTATATAGATTATTTAGGTTAATCTTTCTATCTACCCAATGGGACTCAGTGCTCAGTCTAGAAGATACCATTAGAGATGCTTAGTTTTGCAGTTCTCAAACTGTGGATTTGTGTCTCCAGAATGTTTTAAAATAAATAAATAAATATATAGAGGTGAGAAATAACAGACCTCAACTCTATTGTCCCTCTGCAAATTTGTGTACTCAGAGTCAATCCCTTACCTCTCTCTAAAAGTGAAACGTTTCAAAAAGTTCAATGAATAGAAGATTGTTGGGGGGCAGAATAGATTTGGACAAGGAGAAGAAATCTGATAAATGTGAGAAGCGAGGGACATAGGTTTTTTTGTTAAAATATTATGTTTGCTGTTGAAGAAACAAATCCAGAATACTTAACGTTGTTTTAGTTAAATAAAACAATTTAAACGTCCGTCTGGTGATGTTCTCCTCCTAATACAGCATGGAAAGAAAATCCTCCAAATATTAATGATTAACCTGTTGAATTGGAGATAGGTCACCTCCCAATGATTTCATAAATATCTGCTTCAATTACCTTTGGTAAATGAAATAACCAAATAATTATTCATTTTCTGATATAGCTGTAAAACTCATCTGAAAAGTTTTCAAAATAAATCACTGTTTAAAAATGTATAGTGTGAACCTTCTAAAAATGAAACCTACATCTATCTGAGTTGTGAAGAATATGTATTAAGGTTATAACAAACAACAAGAATGTACTTTTATGTAGAAAATCATGATTAAATTAAGTCTTCCTGACTAGTGATTTAAATCATGATTTAAATCAAATCCACCCTGCCCTTGCCCCTGGCACCTTCATTCCCCACAAATACGTTTCGCGCCAGGCCCACAAAAAGTTAATCCGGCCCTGGCGGTTATTAAAAGCTAGTTGCTACTCTGAGCAAAGGGTTAGTCTCCTGCTGCATGTCAGAAGAAAAGGGCGGGAGGAAAGACAAAGCAGGAGGGCTCCCTAGCTTATCCACACTGAGTTCAGACTCAAAGATAGCCCTGGGACACAGCTGGGAATTTGATGGATACATTATTGAGCTGCACTGTTAGTCTATAAACTTGAAATCAAGTTTGGAATTTCCTTCCAAAAAAAAGCCCTACAACAGGGCGTGTCTAGCTGAGCCATTGGCCATGGGGGAGTGGAGGGAGGAAACTGGAGGCAACTTCAGGGGCAGGACATTCATCCCTGTCACCAGTGACTGACAGGTCTGATTCTGCCCCAAGCTGCAAGCAGGCTGACGTAAAGGGCCTATAGACCTTAGCACTAAGGAGAAAATGCTAAATGCTTGCAATTCTCATTTCCAAGTAAGTTAGACAGTAACCCACTTGAATAGGTTACCTAGGGAGGTGGTAGAATCTCCATCCTTTAGTTGGGGATTAGTCCTGCTTTGAGCAGGGGGTTTGACTAGATGACCTCCTGAGGTCTCTTCCAACCCTGATATTCTATGATTCTAAGTAACCTGAATCCTTACCCAAGACATTTTACTAAATAAACAACCACCACCAATGCCAACTCTTACGCTTCTAGATGCCCATCCAACATCTCCCATCTGAGTTAGTAGGAGAATAACATTTTGCATTTAGTTGTTTTCATTTTACTATCCATTCATATCATATTCTTTAGTTCTCACATCATTTGTGAAATGTTACATTTTATTATTATCTATACAGATGGGGAAACTGAGGCATTGAAAGTCAATGATGGGTTCACAAAAGAGAATGGGAGTCCACCTCAGAATTGAGATTATAATTTAGGAGTCCCTGGAGCTAGTCTTGTGCCCTGATATTTCTCACTCAGAAATTGCTGGATGAGAAAATCAGTTTCATTAGTTAATTTATAACACGATCAGTCTCTCTTTAAGTTTCAAATCTGTTCTAAAACTGTGTCATCTATAGTACCGGATAGTCTATGGTATGAACAAGTAAGCAGTGTAGCCTTTATTTTCTGAAGCTGACATGGTTGTATTAAATCCACCAACTGCTGTGCTGTGATCACCATTAAAAAAGTCATGAGTCCAGTGCTTCAGCTAGTATGAATCAACATAGTGACTACAGTTTTTCCTTAGACTTACAGTAAGAAAGAATAATGATCAACTGTTAGGAAATGCTGACTTTTTAATGGTGATCAGTTTGTCCATCACTGCAGACTTTTCAAATGTGCCCAATGCTGTGGTTCAGCCCCTCTAGCTCTGAAAAATAAAGAGTGGGAATCACTTGCCTTCCAACCCTATCTACCTTTCAGCCATCCCTCCACACCCCTGTCCCCCAAGATATATTACACGAACTTGACAGTTCCTCCACAATCAAAAGTTCCGCATGGTTTCTAAGCAAGTTTAGCAAAAACATGAAAAAATATTTCATACTGCATAACTCAAAATTAAATTTCAAAAACATCATTTGCAGCTACAAAAAAGAGCTGGATTTGAGAAGCACACTTGGAAGTATTTTAAATGTGATCAAATACGAAAACACACCATTTTCAAAGTAGAACCTGTGAAAGTCCATCCCTTCTACTAGATTCCCCAAAGCTTCAGGTTCAAAACATGTAAGGCCTGGATCACAAATCTTTCTGTGGAAGAGAAAATGAAACAGTTATGACAAATGTATAGTCAGTTTCAGATGCAGCACAGGACTGCTTTCTTCTTGATGTCTTTGAAACCAAAGGAATCCTCAGATTGGGATTTTCCATCCCTAATATATACAATTCACCACATGAGGGAATTCCGGCTAAGTCAGTGTTTCTCAAATGCGGCCACATGCAGCCACCAGGGGCTTTTCTTGCGGCCACAGCCTCCTGGGCTGTGATTTTGGGGGGGGGTGGGGTGGCGCGCGGGAGTAGCTCTCTCTTCTCCTCCCTGTTGCTCCTGAATGCACCCCCTTAGTGCTGGTGCTGTGGCCACCAGCAGGGATTAGGCCCTGCCCCGTTCTGGAGTCACCTGGGGCACAATGCTGTAGGAACAGGCAGCCATTGAGTTCCCCACTTTCCCTGGGGCGGTGGGGCTCAGGCTTTGGGCTTCAGCCCTGGACACTGGGCTTCGGGCTCCAGCCCTGAGCTCTGGTTGCGCGTCAGCAGGCCTCAGGCTCCAATGGCAGGCTTCAGGCTCCGTCCTTGGGTCCCATCCTCCAGCCGTGAGGCTTCGGGCTCTGACAGCAGGGCTTCAGGAAGAGAAAATGTCCAGTCCCCCCACTGCCTTCCCCAGTCCCCTACCCCCTTTCTCTTGACCCCCACTGCCTACCGTGACCCTCCATCCAGGGCTTAATTTGTCCCCAGGCTTGCCAGGGCTGAGTAAGTCTGTTGTGAAAAGTGATACTTGTATGTTTGTAAATATCACTTTTCACAACAGACTTACTAGCTAGCAATAAATAAATTTCAGTGATTTGGACATGTATATGTGCATATTTATTTGGTTTTCCTAAAGCTAATTAAGTATTTTAGGAAAAATGTGTCCTGACAACCCCTGCTCTAAGTGATGATTATGATGGCGTTGAGGGAAAATTGGAGGATCTTTATATCAGAGGCAACTATGGAGCAGAAAGTTTAACAGGAAAGGAGAGACTATGTCTGAGGATGTCTGAGGAAAGACTTCAGAAGGGGCAGGAATGGTAAAATGAGTGCTATACCTAGTCATGTGGAAAAGAAAGCTTGAAGAAATGCAGTCTATCAACTCGAATATTAAGGTCCAGAATAGAAAGAGAGGTTACTCACTGTATGCAGTAGCTGTAGTTCTTCAAGATGTGTGTCCCTATGGGTGCTCCACTTCGGTGTGCGCCTTTCATGGGAGATTTTCATTGGCAGTGTCTGTTGGCCCTCGCATGCACTGTTAATAACTTGTGCCCTGCACCGAGATTATGTCAGACTGCGTGGGCAAACTGCCCTCAGTTCCTTCTCCACTGCCGAGTCTCAGAAGGAAACTCTGAAGCGGAGAGGAAGGAGGGCGGGTAGTGGGGCACACCTAGGTAAGGCTGCGATTCTTTCATAGAGGTCACGGATTTGGTGACTTCTGCAGCAGCTGGTGTGGCTGACTTCAAGCTGCCTGAGCAACTGGCCCTAGGGCCAGATGTTCAGGTGCCCCACCGCTAGCCACACTGGCCACTGCTGGAGTGACCCAGGACCAGCTGCTCCGGCAGTCCCCGGGGCCAGCCGCATTGGCCACTGCTCAGGAGGCCCCAGGCAGCTGGCTCCGGGGACCACCCAAGCAGCAGCTGGTGCGGCTTGTCCTGCAGACCGCCTGAGCAATGGTTCTGGGGACGGCCCTGGGGAGCGCACGAGCAGCGGTCCTCGGGGCTGCTCCGCAGCCAGCCTCACTGGCCACTGCTCAGGCTGTCCCAGGCAGCTGGCTACAGTGGCACCAGAGAGTGCCCACACAGAGGTCCTGGGGGTGCCCTGGAGACTGCCTGAGCAGCAGCGGCCCTAGGGGCGCCTGGATGTTGGTCCCTGGGAGCAGCGGTCGGGGGGTAGTCAACCCCCAGCACTGGAGTAGGCCCCCCCACCACAAGGTCTTCCCAGAGCAGCAGGGCCTCAGAAGTATTTTTGGTAAAAGTCATGGACAGGTCACGGGCCGTGAATTTTTATTTATTGCCCGTGACCTGTCTATGATTTTTACCAAAAATACCCGTGACTAAATCTTAGCCTTATCCATAGGGGGACACATCTCAAAGAACTACAGTTACTGCTCAGGGTGAGTAATCTCTCTTTCTTCTTCGAGTAGTGTCCCTGTGGGTGCTCCACTTCAGGTGACTCCTGAGCAATATTCCCATAAAGAGGAGGGAGCTTTGGAATCGAGTCCAGCACAGAGGAAAGAACTGCATTGCCAACTGCCACATCAGATCTAGAGGCATCAAGTAAAGCGCTGTACCTGGAGAAGGTATGTACACCAAAGACCATGTAGCAACTCTGCAGATCTCAAATACTGGGACATTTTTAAGTAGAGCCAAAGATGTAGATTGTGACCTCATCAAGCAGGGATTGGAATGCTGGCAGGACTGTAACAAACTAATAATACACCCAGAAATCCATTTTGATGGTCTTTGGGTAGAAAAAGCACAACCTTTATCTGTCTGCAAACAAAAAGAATAGTCTAGGAGATTTAGAAAATGATTTAGTCCTGTGTAGATAGAAGGCTAATGCCCTCCTGACACTGAGTGAGGAAGGTAGTTTCCACGTTGGAATTATGGTTTTTGGAAAGAAAACTTGTAGGTGAATGATTTGGTTCCAATGAAACTCAGAAGACACTTTAGGAAGAAACCTGGAGTGTAGTCATAAGGAAACTTTTTCCTTATAGAACACCGTAAAAGGAGGGTCTGCTATTAAGGCTTCAGTCTCTCTGACTCTGCAGTTGATGTAATAGCCACTAAGGAAACTATTTTCATAAACAAATACAGTAAGGAGCAAGTTACCATCAGTTCAAAAGGAGATTTCAGGAGACTTTTAGGAACCAAACTTAGCTTCCAAATTGGGGTGGGGACTTTCCATCAGTGGGAAGAGAGATTGCCCAGACTCTTCATATGAACCTTATGGTTGTAGGGTGAGCAAACAGATAGATCCCCTCAATAGTGGTGGAAAACCCAGTAAGGCAGCCAAATGAATCTTGAGAGAACCAAGTAATATTCAATGCAAGGGCAACATTCTGGAGTTCACACTAGTGACTGAATCTTCTTCACTTCTGAAAGTATATCTTGTAGAATCTGTCTTACTATTTAATAATATCTGCTGTACTTCTGCAGAACAGACAGATTCTAACCCCGCAAACTACACCTTGAGGCAGAGAATGCTCAGATTGGGATGAAGCAGTTGACTCGCACTCTGGAAGAGAAGCTAAGGAATCATTAGAATATCTGTTGCTGGACAAAGAGCTAGGCTAAAGGAAACCATGCCTGCCGTGACCACATTTGGGCTATTAGAATAACTCTGGTGTTGTCCTGTCTAATTTTCTTCACCACTCTGAGAATCAGAGGCATCGGGGGAAAACACCATTAAACAGCTTCTTCATCCAAGTGAGGAGAAAGGCATCTCCCAATGGGACCTAAACCTCCCCTTGAAAATGAGCAGATGGAACTTTTTGTTCGAAGCTGTGATAGAAAGCTCCACTTCTGGAAATCCCCAAGTTTCAAGTATGCCAACAAGAACCTGGGAATCCAACTCCCATTTGTAATCGTGGGGGAAAAAACCTGCTGAGAGCATCAGCTGTGACATTTTACCTGCCCAAGAGATACGTTGCTGAAATTCTTATGCAATGTTTTATATACCAGTTCCATAACCTTATTGCTTTGGCATAGAGAGAAGAGGATCCATGTTTACTCTTAGAGCTGTGGAACTTTCCCGCTTCACTGGTACTGGAGAAGCCCTTCGTCTCAATGGTACCAAGCTTTGAGGATTAAGTCTCTGAGGCCGTTTACCTTGTCAAAAAGTGAAGTCTCTTTGAGGTGGGTTCCTTAAGAGGAAAATTAGAGCTCCTCTGAGGATATTCAGAGGAGGATTCAGGCTTTCCCTTTCTAGAAGAGTGTTGCGCTGAAGTTGAAGGGGCACAAGAGATCCCCAGGAACTGATGTACAGCGGAGTTCTCCTGACCTAGTTTCAAAGGGGAGTGAAGAGAGCAATCCATCATTAACAATTGCAGCTTGATTTCCCAGTTCTTCCAAGCCTTGGATTTGAGGGCTAAACGAAGTTACGCTTCTGTGGAATGTGTGACGCTTCCAGGGAGCAAACACAGTTAGAGTGTCCGTCGCTGAGTGATACAGCCTCTCTACATGAGGCAACGTTTAAACCCTGATGAACTGGGCATGCCCCTCACAAGGAGGATTTCCCCAGAGGAAATAAAATGATCTTTCAATAGCCAATAACTAAATACTGCTACTAACAACTTAACTAGCTAAACTAAGTAGAACAAACTCAGCGAACAGGTGAGGCATGCACAATGCAAAGATGCTAAACTCCATCTCAAGCTGAGGCAATTGAGAAGGAACTGAGGGCGGTTCGCCCATACTCAATAAAGGGCATGAAGATATCAGCGGTGCATGCGTGGGCTGAATGGACACTGCTAATGAAAATCTCTGATCAAGGTGCATAGGGTGCACATGCACCTGAAGTAGAGCACCCATGGGGACACTACTCAAAGAAGAACCACCCATTCCTGCCAACCTTTTTTTTTCCTTTCCAGATTTTCCTCTCTTATGGCAAGTAGAGCTGAGTTCATAAAGCTGATTTATTCCCATGGGTCTTGTTTTCCATGAATGATGGAAAACTTCTAATTGGAGACTTTTCTCACAAAAATACTATTTGTCATTTTAATGTCCACTGTTTTGACAATTAACACAAACAATAAAACAGCCCTCCCACTCTGAGATTTAAATGAGGTGGCATTCTATTTCTTTCATGTTAACCGAGAACAAAGGTTCCTTATCCTCCATCCAGTTTGCCCTACTGCAGAGCATGCTTGACCTCAAAGGCATATGACCTCATGCAAATCAGCCTGCGAAGCAGAAATATGATGTATGTGAAATTCTGTGATCCATCGATAAACATGGGCATTAACATTTCTGTCTGCTTTGCTTTCCTATGTGTCATTCCAACAGGGAACATAAATTATAAACTGCATCATGCTGGAATGAAACACAACACATATAAGCATGAAGGATGAAATCTTGGTCCCAATGAAATCAGTGGGATTTCAATGGTCAGCATTTCACCTAAAATTTTCTTTCAGTGTTTGACCAGAAGATAAATTTTCAAAGCCATAAATGGAAGTTAGAGCATCTAAATCCTACTGGAAGTCATAGGACTTAGATATTCAGCTGTTACTTGTGCCTTTGAAAATCTCCCCCACGATCTGTTAAGTCTGAAACCAAAGTTGCTCCCAATGTTTAAATGGTAATTTAATTTTGGTTAGATGTTTCTAAGGCTTGAGTTTCGCCATGCTGCAAAACAGAAAAGTTTTGAGCGAAGTTCCATTTGACATTTTTGTACAACGGTTTATGTAACAGTCAAAGGATATAAAGTGCTCAGACCGGGTAAAGGCACATTACTGGTAATCTGTCACTGTCTCATAGGCGTATTACTTCCCTATTTCAACTATTCTAGAACCTTTAGCTTTTCATGAGCTGAAATAGTGTCTTCAGCTCTAGACCTTTAACTTTAAACAAAATATAATTCGTTTTTGTTCCAAATACATTTTAATGGGTTGGAGTAAAAAAATAACAGAACTGGCTATAAGGTTAATTGAAAAACGGAATACCTAAAATGAGTTATTTAAGCAGAATTTTTTTGGGTCCTGAACAGAATTTCTGAAGTAAGACTGGTGCAACACACAATGGGAAGTGAGAGAGTGCAACACACAGCCGGAGAGAGGTAGGAGAAGGCCAAAGTAAGTGCTTGGGTCTTGCAAATTCACACCCGGGCTTGCTATGTACTAGCTCTCCATGTAAATGAGCCAAAAGTCCCAAGTGGCGTTAATGTATTACAGTGCAACAGATGAATTCTGGTGATTGTGAACCTCTGCTTATACTGAAATGTTTCTGACAAAACAACTTTCCAGTATATTTTGATCTTGATTCTTAGATTTTAAATCATGAGCATTCTCTCCTCTCTGCCTGATGAAAGAGATCACTGCATATGTTATGTAGCGATAATGGGTCTGATTCACTATGGTGTTATTCCATGTTTATCGTAATATAACGCTACTGAAATCTACTGTTATACCAGTGTGTGACTTGTGCAATACAGCAGTGAATCAGGTTCTGTTTCCTCAGGGCCTACAAGCATGAACATTTTTATACTTTTATCTCATCTTGTCTCTTGCAAAATGAGTCAACTTACGTGTAAGCTTCAAAGTCCCCATTGTTGATAGCTTCAATCAGCTGCTCAGTAACCTTGATAATCTCCTGCTTACGAGCTAAAGAAAGGATAAACAGACAAAAATACAACAAAACATGAGATGGGAACAAAAGTGGAAAGTAACAGCACAAAAGACTGTCAGACTAAATAACAAAGACAAGGACATTTACATATTTCCCTGATCAGTGTGACTGCCATTCATTCCATGATTCCACTTTCTTTTCTAGTACCATAGCCAGAAGTGTTAAATTACTCACTTTACAATATATTGGCCTTAGTGTATTTCTGTATTCATAAGGAAATAAAGCACATGATACATTTTCGACCTCGGTTCTGATCCACTTTCTCTCACTGAAGGATCTACAGATGTGTAAAAGCAGCCAATTGTCATTTTATGAGCAATATTGTAATGATTCACCTATCTGGAATCTGGAGCTTGTAAGTGTGTCATCCTGATCTCAGAAATCTATGTTTACAATGTTCCAGAGTAACAACCGTGTTAGTCTGTATTCGCAAAAAGATGTGGGTAACCAATTAGTCTCTAAGGTGCCACAAGTACTCCTTTTCTTTTTATGTTTACAATGAATTTTTCTCCACTTAGCCTTTGTTTTGGCCAAACACAAAAAGGCAGGGTGCCAGCACTTCCTTAAATGGCACACTGCCTTTAATAGCAGAGATTGAACCATGAGAAATTAAGAACGTAAGAACAGCCAGACTAGGTCAGACAAATTGTCCATCTTGCCTAGTATCCTGTCTCTGACAGTGGCCAGTGCCAGATGCTTCAGAAGGAATGAACAGAACAGGGCAATTCTGAATCATCCATCCCTTGTTTAGTCCCAGCTTCTGGCAGTTGGAGGTTTGCAGACACCCAGAGCATGGGGTTGAGTCCCTGACCATCTTGGTTAATAGCCATTGATGAACCTATCCTCTATGAACTTATTTAATTCTTTTTTGAAACCAGTTTTACTTTTGGCCTTCACAACATCTCACAGCAATGTGTTCCACAGATTGACTGCACTGAGTGAAGCAGCACTTCCTTTTGTTTGTTTTAAATCTGCTGCCTATTAATTTCATCAGCTGACCTCTAGTTCTTGTGTTATGTGAAGGGGTAAATAAACTTTCCTATTTACTTGCTCCATACCGTTCATGATTTAATAAACCTCCATCATATCCTCCCCTTAGTCATCTCTTTTTGAAGCTTGAGCAGTCCTACTCTTTTTAATCTCTCCTTGTAAGGAAGCTGTTGTATACCCCTAATCATGTTTGTTGCCATTTTCTGCACGTTTTTCAATTCTAATACATCTTTTTTGAGATGGGGCAACCAGAACTGCACACAGTATTCAAGGTGTGGGCATACCATGGATTTATATAGTGGCATTATATTTGCCGTTTTACTCTCTCTCTTTTTCCTAATGGTTCCTAACATTCTGTTAGCTTTTTGACTGCCACTGCACACTGACTTGATATTTTCAGAGAACTGTTGGTGAGGACTCCAAGATCTTTTTCTTGAGTGGTAACAGCGAATTTAGACCCCATTATTTTGTATGTATAGCTGGGATTATTTTTCAGAGTGCATTACTTTGCATTTATCAACACTGAATTGTATCTGCCATTTTATTGCCCAGTTTAGTGAGAGCCATTTGTAACTCTTCACAGCCAGCTTTGACTGAACTATCTTGAGTAATTTTATATTGTCTGCAACCACTCCTGAAATAAGCCCAAACCACTATTTAAGAGAAATTTAGTCCTGTTACCATATCCAGATCTTCCTCTGCAGAGTCGCATTGATTACAGTAGGATCTATATGGATTCAACACAGATCTAACTGCAGCAAAGAGTCCTTCAGCTGTAAGCTCTGTGGCACAGTGAGTATGTCTATTATTATGTTTGTAAACATCTAGCACAGCAGAGTTACAACAGATATTTTGATGCTATCATAAACAAATATTAAAATAATAAAAATGCTTTATAAAAGACCAGTATTAAAACGGTTGTGTGTATGTGTGTGTGTGCGCACGTGTGTATTTTCTTTGATCAATGATAGAAGCCCCAGTAAGACTAAATGGTCACTCAGCTAGCAGGGCTAGTGGGTAGCATGGTGGGATACGGAAGATTTTTAAAAATAAAGAGAGGTTTCAGTTGCCTGATTTCTTGCAGGTAGCATGGATGAATTTGTATGGGGCGAGAACCCTGGCTTTGCTGACCAGCACTGGCAGGGTGCTCCACGTATACCGAATGATGCAGAAGAAAGTGTGGAGGCAGCTGCGGGAGAAGCATAAAAATGGGGCACTGAGGCTGGCATCATCAGCAGAGCAAAGAGGATGGTGGGGTGATGAGAGAAGAGACAAGAGCAGTAGAATGAGGAAGGGTCTAGAAACTGAAGGACCAAGAAGTTTAAACCTGATGTGATGAAGAAAGGGGAGTGAGAGGAGGGACTCGAGGAGGGAGGATAACATGGTGAGTTGAGAGGGGAAGGAAGATGATGCCTGGAATCAGAAATCTTGTATGCCATGCCTAGTGTAAAAGTAATTGAACTAGAGATTTAACAATACATTAAGAAATGTAAATAATTACAAATTGTTAAATTAGGCAATAGAAAACAATATAGTTTTCTATTGTTGGATAGAATATAATTGGTGGATCACTGTAAATAAGACCAAGATCTAATGATATATGGTATTTCCCAGATGCAATTTACACTAAACCCCAAGGACAGATCATAATTTATACTCAGCTGGTTGGTAATAATTTAGTGATAATTTTGTGTATGTTGATATTATTCTTTGTTTCACAATTAATTAATATCACATTTGATTTTACCAAAACATGCCCACAGCTGGATACAAGGTCATGTATATACAAAGTCATGCAAATTAAGTGGTGAACATCTGAATATACTCTGCATCATAATATACTACTAAGTGATCACAGGGGGCTTCAGGAGATGGTTTTTCAAGTGGGGAGCACTGTCAATGGTATGTCTTAGCATAATTCACTTTGGCAATGCTTAACTCATTCTCATCTGTCTGTGGCTTCAATAGCACAATCTAGAGCTGTGCAAAAGACAGAAGCTCAGTTTCACAAAGGATTTTCAGATTTTGAAAACTGGCTTCATTCTTCAGAGAAATGTGTCACAGGGTGGACCGGGCCCTTTAAAAGGGAACTGGTATGTCCCACCTGTGCCTCATTAACAGCATCACAATGGGGCCTAATAGAAGACAGCTGGTTTCCATAAAGAGCCAGAGAAGGAACTGGAAATAGGAAGATGAAGCTGTGGCAGAAATTGCAGTTAGCAGGAGGGAAGATTTGGGCTTAGAAGCTAGAGGGCCTTGGGGGCAGGGGAGGAATGGGGCGGGATTGCCTGCTGATCTCTCAAAGAGGGAGAATAGACAGCACTGGGAGAGTGATGAACTCTGTCCTGGGGAAGAAAGGACTCCAGGTAGGAAGCCCAGGGATTTCCTGCTGTGAAAAGCAGAGAAGGACTCTAGCTGGAAGGGATGGAGTGGCTCCTTGATAAAAAGTGGGTTGGACAGAAGAGGAACTTGGGAGAGAGTCTCTAGTGGAGTTAGTGATTTAAGAAGCCCTGAGCAGAAGGGAAAATTGAAGCAGATTGCCAAAGATCCACCGCTGGCCAGGGTAGGTGGCCCATCCTGTTACAAAAATAAACCAGAAAATGTGAAAATTCTCTGTGAAGAAACACAAAATGTTTAAAAAAGAGACTTTTCAAAATGAAAAACTGAAACATTTTGTTCCAAAAATGTCAAAACATTTCCCCCCCCAACTTTCCAAAATAAAATTCTGCTTAAACTGAAATGATTTTGTGAAGCATTTTGATTTCAATGGAACTGCACATTCTGAAGGAATATAATTCAGTTGAAGTTTCTCTGTCCCGCTCTCGTATGAACATTTGGCAAAACTACGCATCAGCTGATCTGCCCTCTGAGCACAAAGCATGTCCAACCAGCAAGCTCCACAGGCCAGCAAATGAGATTACGGAAACATTGTTGACTCAAACAGCACAACTGCTTTATGTATTTCAGTACTAGTATCAATCCTTCTAGTGCTCTTCGCACTTGTGGAAAGACTTTTCAGCAAATAAAACTCACTGTAAGAAATTCACAATTCTATACTATATTGCTATACTATATATGTTGGTTACACACGCATATAATTGGTTTCAGAGTAGCAGCCGTGTTAGTCTGTATCCATAAAAAGAAAAGGAGTACTTGTGGCACCTTAGAGACTAACAAATTTATTAGAGCATAAGCTTTCGTGAGCTACAGCTCACTTCATCGGATGCATTCAGTGGAAAATATAGTGGGAGATTTTATATACACAGAGAACATGAAACAGTGGGTGTTACCTTACAGACTGTAACAAGAGTGATCAGGAAAGGTGAGCTATGACCAGCAGGAGAGCGGGGGGGTGGGGGCTTTTGTAGTGATAATCAAGGTGGGCCATTTCCAGAAGTTTACAAGGACAGTAGGAGGGGAAATAGTTTTAATTTGTGTAATGACACATCCACTCCCAGTCTTTATTCAAGCCTAAGTTAATTGTATCCAGTTTGCAAATTAATTTCAATTCAGCAGTCTCTCATTGGAGTCTGTTTTTGAAATTTTTGTTGAAGAATTGCCACTTTTAGGTCCGAAATCGAGTGACCAAAGAGACTGAAGTGTTCTCCGACTGGTTTTTGAACGTTATAATTCTTGACGTCTGATTTGTGTCCACACAACAAAAACACTAACCCAGGAACCTATCCTTGCAACAAAGCCCGTTGCCAACTGTGTCCACATTATGTATTCAGGGGACACCATCATAGGGCCTAATCACATCAGCCACACTATCAGAGGCTTGTTCACCTGCGCATCTACCAATGTGATATATGTCAGCAATGCCCCTCTGCCATGTACATTGGCCAAACTGGACAGTCTCTACGTAAAAGAATAAATGGACACACTCCCCACTCTCCTGCTGGTAAATAGCTCATCTTTCCTGAGCACTCTTGTTACAGTCTGTATGGTAACACCCACTGTTTCATGTTCTCTGTGTATATAAAAT